GACACCGGCCTCGACCCGAGTCCTCGAGTCCGGAGGGCTCGAGTCCGAGTCCGAGTCCAAGTCATTGCACTCCGAGGCCAAGACCGAGACCGAGGATTTTTGCACAGGGGAGAGATTCCACAGTGCAATGGCGGCCGAAAATGACGTCAATTTTTCTAATAAGGTTTTCTAAAAAAAAATTCTAATGATTTTTTAGAGTTAGGGTTAGGGTTAGGGTCACAATGCACCTTAAAACAGGAGTTTGAGAGTTTGAGTCCATACGGTCGTGACGTCATTGAGCGACGATTCTGGCCGCCATTGCTGTGTGGAATCTCTCCCCTGTGTCGTACTCGAGACCTAGACCAAGGAAAACGGTCTCGAGGCCAAGACCGGCCTCGAGACCTACAACACTGACCTATAGATATACGGGTAATATTGTGTTTTAGATTCTTCGTTACAGTAATTTGACTGGAATATTTTATTGTTTTTGTTTGCGCGATATTCGAAAAGCAAAATGGCAATCATTCATATTAGGCGTAGCGCCATCTCTCGTCAAAATTTCAGACTTTAAGATCTGAAACATTTATTTTCGCATCAAAACTTATGCATATATCGATCATTATCAAGATTATATAGTGGGAGATATGCTATATAATGCATGGGAGTTCTCCCATATATATACTCTTGCTTTATATATCCCCCCTCCCTCTTCTATCACACCCAAGGTGTCATTGACACTTTCATTATTTATAGCCTATGAGCAAATAGCCTACATTACTGTTTTACCTGAAGGATATCACACCATAATTTATCAACATTTTATAAATTTGAAATCGAGAATGCAAGCGTGAAACATTACATTCATTTGACAAACAAAATTTGTGAGGGCTGGTAAATTATAGTGAGGGCTGGTAAAAAATTGCTGTTACCGGCCCTCTGGGCCGGTGCAAACAATCTGAATTTTGTGCCCTGATATATATATATATATATAATATATATATATATTTATAGTATGATAGGCCTAGTATTAGTATTAATATTATCAATATCATATCATATATGATTCACGTATTCACAATGCACGTACCAGTCGTCTAGCTTTTGTAACTGATATAGTAACAGTTTCAATGACATTCTCAGTTGAATCTGCCATAAAGGGAGCTTCGTGTAAAGCAAAAACTAGTAGTTATTGATCAAAAATGATCTAGAGTGTTCACAGTTATGCACCACTTTCCGCCATATTGAACGCACTGTGGGTTACCATGGACACACGTCAAATACACATTTTTGATTGGATAATACCGGAAAATATTGACTTTAGAGGGTAGCAGCACCGTAGCACGGTGCGAGTACACGAGCGAGTGAAGCAATGCGGGCGGTTGTGCAAAGAGTTTTAAAAGCCAGTGTCAAGGGTACGTATGTTTCAGACTGTTTCTACCACTGGCAGCAAGAACAATCCCGCACGTACACGGTACAGCACACACGCGGCCATTGACTATAATAACAACATTATTATAGTCAATATTATAGTAAACTGCGTGTTACAATATGTACAGTACAGTTGTGTACAGTGTGAGTGTACTAAACTACCATAGATATATACAACACAATATACAACACAATATACAACACAATATACAACACAATATACAATACAATGTGTTGTATATATCTATGAAACTACTAATACTATGTATGTAGTGGCCGCGCGCTGGCCGCGCCTTTCCGTTTTACACCGCAGCCTAGGCAAACCGACTGGTGAACCAATCAGAGTCTCGCGTGACGTCAGAATACGTCACGCACAACTCTGCCCGCTCCCAAGTTGAATCAGTGTGTTGAATGCATACATGCAGCTAGACGAGTACCCGTCCTTTCTCACAAGCTCGATATAGCCTATATCGAGCTTGTGAGAAGGGACGGGTACCAGTCTAACATACAGCCTGCTGATGCGCGCATTTGCAAGTACTGTTATGTTTATGTCTTCTAAGTTCTATGTGCATTCGTCGTTGTTATATTTCTGTTCGCACTCCTGTTTCTAAGTTGTACTTTACCGTTGTACTTCTTAACCTTAACTTATTTGTTAATGTTGTTACATTTCTGTTCTCAGTCCTGTTTCTACGACTACGTTGTACTTTACCATTGACGTTGTATTTTTAGCTCATCTGACATAGTCAGATGCAGCTTGTAGAATTGTAGAATCGCGTGATTGTCGTACCTGTCCGTGCCGTGCGTCCGGTCGGCGTCCGTCCGTCCGTCCGTCAACAGTTGGGCAAAATCTTCAACCGCGCTCGAGACGTATCGGTGCCACGATATTCGGGTTCACATCGGGGGGATGTCAACGCCGTTGGGATGTCGAAGCTGGGGTCAAAGTCAAAGGTCAAGAGGTGTAAAAGAAGGGGGAAGATTCATCCTTTAACGTTAAGGTATAGGG